CCCCCCCCCCATCCGTTTCTCCAGCGCTGACTGGAGGAGGGGGCAGGCACAGCAGGCTCTGCCTCTAGAGAGACAGAGCCAGCTGTCAATCAGCCAGCGGGGTGGATCTCGTCAGGATCCGTCCCAGCTGCGGCGCTGCTCTCAGCATATAGCGGGCAATAGCCCGCTTCATACTGAGTTTTGGGCCATTTTAGTATATGTCCTCCTGTGACCCTGAGGAGTAAGGTTGCCCCATAGTTCTCCTCTTTAAAAAAAACTGCAATCCAATGAGTGAAAGGGATGGGCTTGGCACAGCTAGGTATATATTTACAGGATAGGAGCTTTTAAAACTGTGCAAAAGTGGTTTTAAGGTTTTAAGTCTTCAGCTTTCAAGCCAACACTGATGTTTCAATTAACAAAAATGTGAAACTGGGAACCACCTGTTACCCCAGAATGTAGTAGAGGACAATACATTAGGGTTTAAACTGATCCCATTTCAGCTAATGCTTAGTGACTTGCTAATGGGGGTCGACCAATATAATTTTTTTAGAACCCATACTAATTATGAGCCAACTCTCAGGTGGATAATGGATATCAGGTGCCGATATACGGTTTACATCCGGCTGTGGAATCTTGCACTGGCAGATGAACACAGTGACCGGCGACCAGGCTCTGTGTTCATCTGCCGGCGGCAAGATTCCGTAAACAGCAGGCAGTAGGCGGGATCAATAGCCAGCCTGCTATTGGCGGTTTCAAATTGCAATAATTGGTAGATCTGATATCTGTTGACCCCTACTTGCTAAGTCCAAAAGTAAGCAGTTTCTAGTCCTGAACTCACTGCTACAGCTTGAAGATCTTTGCCTTTTTCTTCCTGCACCAGTCTTTGTTAATCCCCGCCCAATTTTTTGTTTTTTTTAAATAAATGACTTGATCAGACTTAACATTTGCAAATTACGATGACCATGACTGGTTTTCTTTTTTTTTTTTTTTACATTGAAGCCCCTTAGAGTTATCCTACTGAAGTTGTATCTGTAAAAAAATTAGTCAAGGCAACTGGACTTGCTGTATTTTTCTTGAAGACGTTTCACTGGTCATCCAACCAGCTTTCTCAATTCAGAATTACTTGTACAAAAATTATCTAGGAATAAATATGGTGAATGTCATAATCTGTTAGTCGCAACCAGGTGTTGATTGCATTTGCATAATTGGAGTTAGGAGGTGTTGTTAACCTGCCCAGAGAGAGATTGTATGTGACAGACAATAGATGTCTCACCCCC